GCTATCATACTCGATATAGCTAGCTAACTCAATAAAAGTGGTACGGATAGCTAGCTATCACAAGCCGATATTGCCCGATAACATATTTTTATAGCTAGATAATCTCAAAGGCATTTTTTTGCTTGGGCACATTTTCAAAATCTAATAGACTAACAACGTTATTATTATCATTCCAGACAACATTATTTAGACGTATATTACGATATATTGGATACGATTTAATTGTTGTAGTTGTTGCGTCTTGTTTTCTTAATAATTTCTTAATTAATTTTGATAATTGAGGATAATAGTGAAAATGCATATTCTTGAACTAAAGGACGGGGGCGATTATTTGATGAAATCGGCCCCTGCTCGAATTCCATCGAAATACACATGGTTAGATGCAGAATAAACAGGAGAACATTTCTAGCCGCTCGACAGACCTTGGAGTTACTCTAAGAAAAAACTAGGTCGAATTTCTGTAACCAAAGTTCTCCTCTTCTTTCTTCAACGGTGGCAATCCTGTGCTCCACACTTGACCACTATCCACGACGATACATATACCATTCGATAGAGAATTTCTCGCGCTACAATTGCATATATACAAAGTAGTGAAAACAATGTCCTCGGACCCCTTGAGATTAGAAATACTATCTCGAAAGCCGTGAAAAGTGGGTGGCTTATTTCACGGTGACGATCCTGTGCTTCACACTTGTCCACTAACCACGACGATACATTTACCATTCAACAGAGAATTTCACGAGCTTCAAGATGAGCGATAAACAAGTCTTTCAGAAATATGCCCACATGAATCATTAGTTGAAATACTTGTCCGATATAATGATTTTGACCTATCTTAGTGCTTTCAACACTCCATTAGTCGTTTTTCTGCCATAATGAAAATTATGTATTGTTCCAAAACATACCACTGGATAGCCCTTGAAATTCTTTACAAAGCGAGCCGGTCACAATATACAGACCGGTGGGGCCTGCCATTAAAGATATTGAAAAGAAAGTTTTGGGTATTATCTAAGCAGTACCATGTGTCATAATCACAAGAACTCCCTTGTTTTTGACCTTTTAGTAAAAGCTGGGACCAATCTGAATAGTGTTTTGAATAGCCCGAAGATTTTTCTATCAGATTAGGTGCATGTCCGCCGTTCATGAGAAAAGTTGATAATAGAGCTTCCGGAAAACCTGCCTGCTTAAAAACCAAGTCCTTAGTTTTTAGTGAGAAAATTTTGCAAGCCATATAGCCTGATAGAGCGAAAAATTCTGAGCAAAATAAGACTGCTCCCAGCATTCTATAGCGCTCTTTCACCGGAATATTGTGGTAACTTTGACGCCCCTTGTAGCTAGTGGTAAATCGCCTGTAGCTGCGTGAAAAAGCGCTATAGAATGCCGGAAGAAGTCTAATTTTGCTCAGAATTTTTCGCTGTAGTTTCTTTTTAGTAATTTTTATTGTAGCGCGAAAAATTCTCTATCGAATGGTATATGTATCGTCGTGGTTAGTCGTCAAGTGTGGAGCACAGGATCGTCACCGTTGAAGAAAGAAGTGGAGAACTTTGGTTACAGTAAATTCGACCTAGTTTTTTCTTAGAGTAACTCCAAGGTCTGTCGAGCGGCTAGAAATGTTCTCCTGTTTATTCTACATCTAACCATGTGTGTTTCGATGGAATTCGAGCAGGGGCCGATTTCATCAAATAATCGCCCCCGTCCTTTCTGTTGTTTTCTGATTGTTCTTGCTTGATCTTTTTATTTTCATTGATGTTATTAATTCATCTAATAATTGTGATTGTTTCTGTGAATGTTCTGTGGTGTGAAGAGGAGGATTTTTGAATGATTAAAAAATGATGATTTTGATAAGCAACTAGCTAGTGATGACAATTATTGTTCATTAAAATCGCTCTCTTGAATTTTACCGTTAATATACCCATATAGCTAATAAAAATGATGAGTATATTGAGTAAATAATATTTGTGATAATGATAAAGTAACTGGCCGTGATGCTTTAATGGATTTATCAAGATACTTTTGAAAATCAATCAAAGAATTAAGTTCATATTGAAGATTTTGCCCATATGTTAGTTGCTTAAGGATATGGCCGATGGCGGTAGATGGTAAACATATTTGCCAACTTGTATTAACACTTTGCGGTTGAGAGATTAAATGAACTGAAAAATCACTTGAGGATGATTGAAATACATGCGGGTCAATACGTTAATAACACGTGTCGAATATCTGGTGTATTATCATCCATTTCCATTTTAAACAAATCTAAAACAAAGACAAATTGTGGAAATTTTCAACTTCTTCAAAGTTCTTTGTTGACTTTTGTTTTATGATCCAAAGCGATGAGATTTTCTCAGCGGATTCGTTGCATCTTAGACAACGAATATTTATTTCAGTTTTTACTGTATCGGAAAACAAAGAGGACGAGAAAGAGATAGTTTATGATTTCTGTTTTAAAAGCTATTTTTCTCCCATCCTTATAAAAATTTTTCTCTTTTAATTGAGTTAGAATAGAATATAAGATCAAGATGATCAGATCTACCTCTACTGTTGAAATTCTTTTCTCTTGTAAGGCATGAATTTTACTAAAATAGTGCGTAACAAAAAGTATGAATAATTAGTACTTAATCTTTTGTAAGTAACTCACTAATTCACTCAGCCTCTCCAGAGCATTTTTTCATCAAACTGCATTCAATTGACGAGAAGAATCAAACCGTCAAAACAAGCAAAATTAACAAGAAATCATGAAGAATGTACTTTCGAGGCATCTCGTCAATTGAATGCAGTTTGATGAAAAAGTATTCTGAAGAGCTGAGAGACGTCACATTTTGTTCAGAAATGTTTGCTCTAAATGAAGACGTGGTTTACAAAAAATTTCTCAGTCGTATAGAAAGATTTAGTTTTCTCAGGTTTTGATTTTTCAAAGACCCGACTTACAAAGAATTTTAATGAAATCTTTAAACGTATCACATCAGATTACAAACTCTTTCAGCTGCTCAAATTTCAGATTTGTTCTATTTCTTCTGATTGACGAGAAAAATTGAGAGCTAAGGCAGACAATAATTGTGTGTCCTTTGTGTCCAGAACGACATGCTCATTAAAATATGTATATTCTAGCGTATATTATGTGAGAAACAGAAATTACTTAGGGCAATCCAAAAGTAGTGAGGGAGGTACTTTATTTTCTTATAAAAGCTTCAAAAAAATTTCTTTTTCTATGAACATATAGAGCGTCTTTCGCTCTACTTTTCTATGCTATTTGATCACTATTCAACTAATATCATAATAATAAAATTGCGATAAGATCAGTTTCTTTCGCATATGTGCTGGTAGCATGAATGCTCGTAAGTACTTTTTGTATAACGTTTGATAGCAACAAGATAGAGAACTGCGAATTTCACCGTTGGTAAGAGGAGATGAAGGCGCATCGAACTGTATATTACTGATTTTTTTAATATGATTTCCAAAGTGTTTTTATTCAATTTTCTAACCGTCGGAAAAATTTTTGTTCGTGAAAAAAAGCAAAAACAAAAAAGTTGATAGAAAATCGTAGTAGAGGTTCTTCTAAAATACGTACTATCCCCAAATAATTAAATTTAAACATCTGAGTCTTTCGCAGTTTGTAGATCTTCAATTAGCGGTTTGAATGTGAGCCTGATTATTGAAAATTCACTGTAAACAACTTACAGGATAAGTTTGTCCTTTAAAAGGTCAACTAAAAACCTTGCAAAAACCAGGTTAGAAAAATCAGTAATATATGGTTCGATGCGTCTTCATTTCTTCTTTCGAACGGTGAAAACCGCAGTTCTCTATCTTCTTGCTATCAAAAGTTATTCAAAACATACTCACGAGCATTCATGTTCATGATACCAGCACATATGCGAAAGAAACAAATCTTATCGAAGTTTTATTATTATAATATTAGTTGAATATTGATCAAATAGCATAGAAAAATAGAGCGAAAGACGCTCTATCTGTTCATTAAAAAAGAAATTTTTTTGAAGCGCTTCTTGGGATAATAAAGTACCTCCCTCACTACTTTTGGATTGCCCTAAGTAGGACAAACAAAAGAATGAAACTAAATACTAATTTCATTAAACTTCAACCGCAGCTTTTGTTGGATTCATCAACGACTCCTCGATCGACTTTTCGGCGAAGTTTTGAAAATAAATTTCAAGAAACTAAACTATCAAGTTTTCCTTATCTTCGACACGCTAATAAAGTATATGCCACTTACAGTGAACATGCCTATTTTTACAATTTTAATCTCAATCCCCCTTGAAACAATCTGATCAATTTCAAACTACGTTGCATATGCGTATCTGAAAAATTGCGAATTTGAAAAGGTTGTGCGGTTTTGATGCATGCCGCATAGATGCAGTGCAAATAGGCGAACATTTTGGTATGTAGTGTTATGTTTCTTCCAATAGCACATTTCTTTCTTCCTTTCTCTTGTTTATTATAAGTAGATATTCATACAAAAAAAGTTGGGTTTCGTTTTGATTTGTGTATAATAGAAAATGCAAAAGATGTAAGTGTTCTCAAAGTTTTTCTCAATCTGCTGCGTTATTCTTCTGTTTTTTCTGGTTGCATATTTGCTGGCTTTGGTTCCGGTTTGTCCCTTAATAATGATGATAATTGTTCATGATGTTCATCACCAAATAATCCGTCGTAATTTTGATCAATAATTTCTTTTAACTGCTTTACATTTGGATAAGTTTGATTTGTTTTAAACATTGATTTTAATTGCATAACAATTCGGCAAAGTTGTTCAGCTTGACTTTTGTTCTTTTGAAAATTTGTTTGTTGAAATTCGTGACTGTTAACTAAGTAAAATTTTATTGTTTCAATTTTTAATTGTATCGTTTTTCATCAAACATGTCCAGCAGAAAGAAAGAAACTTTTTTCAGACTTCTCCTTTCTCCCCATTTTGTAATCTACGGATAAAAGAAATTTCTAATTAATATCGACTAGATGTGGTAGCCACCATCAGGAACAATGATAAATTCGTGGCTCTGTTCACGTTGCTGAAAGATTTCGACAATTCTTTTTGCAGTTATTTTTTTCTTATACATTATAGAAAATTGTTGAAAACTGAAAGACGCAATACCCAGTTCTGCTTTTAGCTTCAGTATGTTTGTGCACACGACAGGCTCTCGAAATAAGTAGAAGAGTTTCGTTCTGCAGTTCCTCTAATCTTTCAATATTCACTTGAATAATGTTGTCACCAAATAGAAAAGCCGTTCAGATAAATATATTAGTAAGATACATATGATAAGATGGTCGTCTTTTGAGTGAACTGTTGTTCGAACAGAACATTTTTCGGTCAAAAATTCTTACGGTAGTAAGTCTATGTTCAGTTACGTTACAGTAGAAGTTGCTTGAGACATATCGCTGGACAGAACTGGTGTTAGCCAGGACAGCGTCATAAGTTTAGAGGATAGTATTTTCAAATTGAGTTATTTTCCCCATAGAATGGTCTAGACAGAGCTACATTAGATGAGTTTTCAGCTTAATCTGTTCTAGCCTACAGTCATTATCTGACCGACTCAGAAAATAATGGATATAAAATATTGTTTACGGTTTTGTTTTAGAAGTCGAGATATTATAGAAAGGCCTGATCAAGTTTCATTACTATCCCTCTTGATCGTCGTTACGACCGATTAGACCCGATCTTCTGATCAGTATTGAGTGTAGTACTGCCTGATTAAATCTGATTTGAAGAGAAAAATGTGGTTTTCAGAATGAGACGTACAGTTTCCTTCACGGGACTGAGGTAATCAGACATCTTAAGAGAACACCCCTTATCTTTATAAAATTTTTCTTGCTCATCTTGTGCCATACATTGAACATGGCTCAATGTGTTTGGGAAACCATATTTAGCATGCTCGATAATAATCGTTATGGCACGAGTTGCTTCATATTCTTTAGTTATTGTTTCTTCACGTTGTAATCGTTTATTTTTAACTTTACAACACCAAAAACGTAATGGTGGACAACATACATCTTGTTTAGCGACCGATACATCTGTCATTCGTTTTTCTATTTCTACAGTGCGTTTCTTATTAACGTTTGTTATTCGAGTGCTATTTATTACTCCAACTTTTGCATTACAACATCTCCAAGATGGACAACAGCGTAATGATTTACAACAACACAATGATTTGCAACATGTTTCTCCATCAACCGCTTCTACGTTATTTGATGTATTTTTTTCTATTACCTCTTTTTGTACATCAGTTATAAATTTAATTGAAAAAATATCTTCAACAGGTATAATTTGTACTTCTTCATTGTCTGACAAATTTTCTTCATCCGTTTTCGATTGATGACTTAGTTGAACAGTTTGTTCTTCGCCCAATATACCTTTAGTATGCTTCTTTCCAGTTTTCTTTGATGATTCTTTATACTTATGTATGGATAAAACTGGACTTGTGTAAGTACCATCTGATACGGCAAAGCCTGTGAGAATAAATATATATAAAAAGAAACATTTTGCTTAAATTGTGAGTCAAGTATTCTCTACCAAAACTAGTCAGTTCGATCTTACTATAACTTTGAAGCTATGAAATTAAATTACTACACACTATGAGTTCTTTTCTACAGTGTGGTATGAAACATGCAACAAAGAAATGGAACAATGAATACGCAGAACGAACTCATTGCTCTTAAAAAGTTATATATACACAAGATCCGTCATACAATAATCCACGTGCAAAAAGAGTTTCACTACGTTAGTTGTGCTTAATAATACCAAAATACAAAGATTTTCCAAAATCCACTAAAGCAATTTTTGTCGGTACAGTGTAAAAATCTGCATCTTTTGACGTTAAAGGAATTATTCGATCTGTGCCGTTTTACGAAATTAGAATATTCTAATATCAAGAATATTCTGCTGAGATTTCTAAAATAAGTTCAAAATCAAATCGACACTTTCCTGGAGAATTACATTGTCTATCTTTTGCGCTAATATTAAATTTTTAAACACAATCAGTATGAATAAAGATATAATAGAAAAGTGGCTTCAGGACTTCTGGTCCACTTTCTATAGGTAGTGATCATCTCGTGCGCGTCAGATACCATCCTGCTTGAGAAAGTTTGGGTAAGGGCTTTACTGTATAAAATTTCAAAAACTTTTGCCTTTTTGTGTTATTTTTCAAATACTCCTACTGTACCTTAACCTCGTTCCACACAAATACGTATGTGCTAGGAAGAGATGTGTGAGCCACTTTCTCTGGTCCGTTAAAGGATCATTTAGAAGTCTTTCTCACTAAAGAGCTTCCAGCTACGTTCGATTCTCCTGAAAAACAGCTGACTCGACAAAATCACTCAAACTTTTCGAAAAGCTCGAGTCAACTGCCGTCCAGAAGACCGAATCTATGAAGGCGGTGAAATTGAATGCGATATATCATTTTGTAGCCCGAACAAGTCTGTATCGAACGCTACTAAATGTAGCTCGAAGCTCTTTAGCAAGAAATACTGCTTGATGATTCTTTAAGTGACTCGAGAAAGTGATTCGCCCATCTCTGATGCTAGCGTCTAGTATGCCCTTTTGTATGTGCAGATCTTTCCTTAGTTCCGTTTAAATATAATGACCACTTCAAATCTCACTATGTTTTATTCTCCAACACGCACAGTGTCCTTGAATCTTTGAATGGCAGCCGACAGTAGTGAGCTTGAGAGCTTCAACGAATCTTTCTACATACCACCATAGATCTTAACATAGCCACTTGGTATTTCTTTTTGTCCGGTCTCATCAATTATCGTCTGAGTATCTGTTGCAAGAATAGATGTTTTCTTACAGCAACCAGTACAACAACCATTTCCCATCCTTGACTATATATGATGATTCTGTTTTATTATATTTTTTTTGATTAAAATGATTTCGCGATCAATTCGATATAAATATTTGGTATTTGCTCCTACTATACATGCATACAGACTTTTATTTCAAAATATTTTTCTCTTTTTTCATTCATATAGCTGATGATTCTTTTGTTCTAGTCTTCTGATTCTTTTAACATGCGAAAGAAATCAAAAAGTATCTACGATACAGTACCAACAAAATAAGATTAAATCAAAGGAAAGGATACAAAGAACCTTTTTTTATACATAAAACAAAATAAAGTTCCAGTATTATATTCCTTGAATGGTAATAACTGAAAAACAACAACAAATAGTGACGAGAAAATGAGACGTTTTTCATATATTTTATAATTAAATGTCCATCATACTTGAAATAAAATCACATAAAAAAAGAGATTTTTTTTTCAGCAGCCGTGGTGTAAAGGAGATATTATAGTCATAGAGAATCCGCATACCACTATCGAATATCTAGCTCAAACTTTTTACTTGTATATTAATCATATATGAGAATAGAACACAGGAACTGATTTTATTTCAAGTATGATGTTCCGTTGTATACGATATTAAATGATTCAAAGAGGACGCTTTAACGTGATATCTTATTTCTTCTATTGTAACACGCTAATTCTTCGTAAGTGACGCGCAATCTAAGGTACATTAACAAGTGCAAGAAGATAAAAAGTCGTAAAAAAACGAGAATTAGGATACACTTTCCAATAATTCCACTACAAAATGGAATATTGCGTAATAACGAGAAGCAAGCGGACGAAAATCTATCGCGCGACGACGTACGAGTACTCTAGTAGTATTACGTTTCTTTACTTAATATTCAGCATCGAAAGTAACAGCTCAGTTCCTACACATTCGACCATCGTTCAATATTTTGACTGACGCACCAGTTAATGTGAAAGGCTGGAATGATTAAATAAACATGAATTGTGGATTTCACCTTATTTATTCGTATCAGTTAAAGCGGAAGTCGTGAAATGAAGTCGTGGAAAGGCTAGATTGAGAACGGAGGCATCAGAGTCCAATAACCGACGTTTCTCACACGTACTCTTCCGCTCCTAAACTTGAAATATTATTTTCCTCACTCATTAATACCTACCCCACCCTTTAACTCGAGAAATGATGAGAAAAAGAGTCGATTGCGAAAATGACGAACGATTTTCCGAGATAACGTCAAAGAAAAATAAATTATAACCGTCAGAATATTTTGTTACTGATATGAATATTTAAAGTCGTAATATCGTGTTACAACTATGTAAAATACAGGATCTTGTACAGAATTTCTCACTGGATTTAATGGCGTATTGTGTTTTGATTAATAAATCATTTTTAGTCAGATACACTAAGAAGACGCCTTTTTTGTTATAAATAAAATTGAATAAAAAGTTTCAGTATTAGTTAGTTGAATAGTAACAACTGAAAAACAACAACAGATAATGACAAGAAAATGAAACACTTTTTTCAAGTGTTTTACTATTAAATGTCCATCATACTTGAAAATAAAATCATTTTCTATGTTTTGTTCTCGCATATGATTAACATACAAATAAAAAGTTTTAGCTATACTTGATAGTGGTATGTTGATTGTCTATGACTATAATATTCCCCTTACACCATGGTTAATGAAAAAACATTCTCTTTTGTCACCGAAACCCTTGAAAATTGACACTTGTTCGATCCAATTAAAACTAAATAGAGATATGCTAAAAATCAGGTAAAAGTGACTTTTGAGTCACTCACTTACTGCGTTATAACTTTAGAAATAAATGCGTATGAAATTTGCTTGGTTGTCATATCAAAGAAGACACTGCCCGTGCTATTATGTTATTTCGTTGCGGAGCTATAACTAATTCAAAACGTACTGGACTGACTTTTTTCGGTTGGATTACGTGGACAAGCCTTTAAATGGATTGTACTTCGCTTTTTCGAATTAGACTTTATATATATGTATATTTACATACACATATGTTGATGTGTTTTCAGCTTTTTAGGTATCTAAGTACTTCGGTTTTCCGAGGTTTTCAGGTAATCCTGAAGGTTTATTTTAGATCTCATTCCTGATTTGTTTGAGTGAAAAAGTTGCATTTGCTTTGAGTAAATCAGTGACTTCCGTTCCCAAAATTTCAGCTATTGCAGAGATGTAACCGGTACCGGCAACCGGCCAATCCGCTCAGGAATGTCTGATGGGTCAGTGGACCTGCCGGTCGAGAAAAAAAATGTTTTTCGTCTGAAAAATCAGTTACTTTGTCGAAAACGAATCTGTTGCCCTAAGGGAAGCCATCAAAACTATGTAGTGCATGGCTATAAGCAACGTGAGTATCGATTTTTTCGATGTCGGTTTAAACCGAATATCGGTTTGTTGAGAGTAAGTTACCAAAACGTCATTACAGCAGTTTCCACATGTCACTCATGAATATATGATTATTGAATGTTTGATTGCTTGTGACGTGATTATGATTGATTGTTCATAGATGGTCGAACTGTCATAACTTGAGCCGCATTCATCTTCTCTTCCATAAAGCTTCTAATAATCTTCGTTTACTCGAGTACGACACTGATTGCTCGAAACTCTTTAGCAGTTACTGACAACAGCAAACCAAATGTTCAAGAGTGCAAACAGTTCGAAAATATTCGATCGCTTCTTGATATGGAGAGGGGTCTGAGTTGAATATATATATATATATATATAAATATGATATATATATCAACAGGTCGTACCCGTAAAACTTCGTTAATCCTAAATAATTCTGTTTTTGGTAAGCCCATTTTTTTTCTGTCGATGCGCTGAGATACAATAATATCTGCATATAATATGGGATATCTTATGTGGAATCAGATATCTTCTTATTTGCTAGATTTCTATTACATTTATTATAGCGACACGTTTTCTCGTTCTGTTCAATTTGAAGAGGCTGTAGAAGTTGATGCTATTGATGTAAGGAATACAGACAGAGAAGCAGCAGAAAAGTCTGAATTCACGTATGGATCATTTTACAGCGACGCTGGAGTTAGTTCATGGCTGCCTTCAGTTATGAACGTTATTTCTCGTTCGTTGAATTTTTAGATGTCGGTAAAGAAAGCGTTCAGTGTCCGAAAAGAACAGTTCAAAATAATTTGATGTTTGGATAAATAATAACTAGAACAATTTTTGAAATTCTTCTTCTAGATTCGATCTGCCGATCTTTCATACGCTACACTTCTTCAACTACGTATTTTCCCATTGCACTAAACTGTGCAAAAATTGTTCTAATCGAAAAACTCTCCTATAAACCGTATTCTTCATAAATAATAACGTCGAGTTGCTCATGTTTTATCTAAAGAAAAACAATTTCAGAGAACGAAGCTATCTTTTCTTGTGACAAAGTTAGATTTTAATTTTACTGTCTTCAGGTTTTCTAAGCCAGCATTATGTTATCTTTAATGCAAAAACAATGATAAGTTAGTGAACGTTGAACTAGTTTCACTTAAAATGAGATTTGCACACCAAATAATCCGTCCACACCAGAAGCACTTCTTTTCAAATACGCTCATAGCCACTATTTTTGGTTAAAAAGACAAAAAAGTGAGCATTTTTACTTTTCACTGATGCAATACATTATATTGAATTTAATGAGAACTGACTAGTTATTCAAGTGCCGACGTGGCTTTCTAAACAAGCCCAAAAATGAGGCAGAAAAGTAGTTACAGTTAAAAGTCGAGCATATCTTGCAGTGTGTCAGCACGTTGTGTACCAAGTTCGTTAAACTTTGTCAAACTAAAAAGCATTTTCTCGCAAATTGTGGATTGAATAGAATGATGTAATGATTTTCAAGGTCAATTCGAGATATCTGAGGCTTTATTTGCACGCTTCTGATTATGTTTAGAAATTTTCATTCGAGACTTTTGTTTTCTTCGTGTTGATTCTTGTTGAAATATACAGCACTCTACTTTTGCATACATGTTCTTAAAAAATTATCGGTGATCATAGTCAAAACTGTTTTACCGTTAAGCTTTATCGATTTTGATGGAAAAACCTGTATTACCTATAAAATAAAAACTAGATATTTATTCAAATTTAATAAAGTTTCTACAAGATTATGTTGATCAAAACGGATGCAATTTGAAAAATTCAAGGTGCCGATGGGTATATGTCTGTCTTGTCCATTTATTCTTACTGACATTCTTGTTTGGCCTAAGTATTTGAATCATGGAAGTAGTCGAGGTGATAAACGATACGACAGCTGCATTATGCGTCTCCTCATATCATATTCTGTCGTACTCTTCATTGTCAATCGTTTTTCTACTCAGCTAGTAAGAAACTATTATACTTGCGTAGTTTTTTCAGTAGTAGAGAATGATGAAGTCGCTGGATTATTTGATGTTACGAGGTGACAATTAAGTAAGGAAGAGAAAGAAGATATAGTAAAGATAAATGTATTTAACTGTAATGAAATGAATCAAAAAGCAACAATGTTATTTAGTTTTGTAAAATTATACTTGAAGCATCAAGTATGATCTAGCCTATTGCAACTTGTATTCAACGTTGTAAGTGTTATAGAAGAATATGGGAACATGACCACACTAAAATTATGAAACTGTTTCTATTTGCGAGATAAGAAGTAATATCAAATCAGCATTTAATCCAGGGACTTAAGAAAGCTAGAAGCGTCTATAGTACATATGCGATGCGATGAGAATAAACACACATGGTTGTGAGCAGAAAAATAATATATTATTATTATTTGTTATTTGTGTCAACCTTCATTCGAATAAGGCTTTTTGGTTTGGAATTCACGAACATATTATTATTGGAATACTGTTAGCATCATTCATCCAAAATGGCTGGAATCAAATTGATATTTTGTGTAGTCATGGCTGTTGGTCTTTGTTTGCTTACAGAACAAGCACCTCAAAAACGTATGTATACTCATCTTCATCCATTTGTTCTAACAGCTAAATAATTCTTCTTTCAAGGTGAAGTTTGTGGTCTCAATGAGCGTTTCAACACATGTGGTAGTACATGTTTCTTTCGCTGTGACAGTTTGACGAAAAAGACGACTTCAATGTGCAATCGAAATTGTGTCCGTGGGTGCTTTTGCGTAACCGGTTTCTATCGAGATACAAATGATGTTTGTGTTTCTATTCCAAACTGTGAAACAACGTCTTATAGCGTACGTAATTATGCCACTCAGCAGCAGTGAAATGTGACAACAGAATCTTGGAAATCCATTTGTTACTGTTTTTGATTGTTTTAACAGAAATAAAAGATTAGTCGATGATTCCAATTCGACTTGGAGCTTGTATTTCTTTTGATTTTTTTTGGCAATGCAACGATACGTAAGCGGAGCTACGCACTTAACAAGTTTCCTTCTATATAAACAGCAATTTTAACGAAATGTGGTTACTGTCCAGAGCTTTTCTAGACATTTTTCATCAGTAAAAGTTTAATTAAAAATAACAGTACAACGGCAGCTAATTTAATCATTAACTTATATAATACTTTCCGACATTTCGATTTTATTGAAAAAAATCATTTTTAAGGTTGCTCATGAAATACAAATTTAAGAACAACTGCATGGAATATTTATAAAGTATAGGGCAATGTTCTTTTCCTTTCTTTGTCTTTTCTTGAGTCACGGGATATAATTGGTCCTATAAGAAAGAAATATCAAGTTGTTATAACATCACGCTATTAGCATCTTAAATGAGCTTAACTCAACAGCTCACTACACAAATAGATGGTTCAAATGATATAACAGATAATGAGCCAGAAAAACTAAAATCATGATTAAAACAGCAATCGAATAATACAACTACTGGACTGGAGAAATTTTAAAGTCATTTGCATGAACAGCAATTCGTATCAAAGAGAGCGTTATATATATTTCTGATCCGCCAGTTCAGATCGAGTGCTAGTTCAGATCAGTTCTGTCCTTCATATTTTCACCTAACACCGAGCAGCCGATATTATCTTTACCTTTCTTTTCGTACTTTGAATGGAGAAACAATTCAAGAAGCAACTGATGAACATCATAAAGTACCTGAATATCCGACCAACCTAATGTCTTCAAGATCTGCTCCTTGCTAGACAAGTGATTAGGTACAGACATTAGAAGAGCGGATCTGTACTCTGATCGCAATACCGGCTGAAGAATTGTTTTTATTGTAAAGGAATAGATCACATCTACGTAGCTCAATACTGTAAATATATATATATATATGATATATATTATATATTTGATCTAAAATAGGGCTGAAGAATTTGCATTAAACTTCATCATCATACCCAGAATTGAATTATATTTGGAAATAATATAAGTTATATGACTTTTCCATGCTAATGACGAGGTAAAGTACACGCCGAGATGCTTGTTTTCTTCAGCATGCTCTATAATATGAGTTGCTAGAAAGTCGGAGGTGATGATTTCCCGTCCGAGGGGCCGCTGACAGACGGAAGCAAGATCATTATATAAAGTGGCGGTGACCCTTTTCTGTCTATTGCCACTGTAACAAAGCGTCTGCGACTTGCATCAAAATACGGACCTGTATCGCAACGAATTGCATATTCACATGCGTCTGCGCGCAAAGGGGATAAATAGTTTTGTTCGCTTTTAGACGGGATGCTTATGAGTGCTTACCAGGTCATTAAATCGCCTTGAATTTTTCAACGGGACCATTAGCGAAACAGAAGCGCTCGTCGACACATATTATTTTCCAGTAAAAGGTATTACGAATGTTGCATTACTTTCATTTTTACTTGTCACAACATTCCTCCTTAGTCAATAGGATTTATCCTTGAAGCTGGTGTTTTACGACATGCAGACACTGTGAAAGATATTTCCCTTTTTTTCTTCATTAATGAGATGATGTGTTCTCATCAAAGAATAATAGGACGTGAAAAGATACGAAATTATGAGTATTGAGTAACTATTAGAAATTCACTTCTATATTCTAAAATGTGTCATTCACTAAGGGAAATAGTCACCGTCCGCTTTCAGTACATCTGACATTAACAATCAACACTTTTCAAAGGAAAACTATGCAGGTGCAGCTTGTTTACGAGACTATATTGGATGTCAACTTGTAGAGATAGAGACCAGACATATGATATTATCATCCAGAAGGCCCTTTATTTTGATATATAAGTAGCGGTAAGGCAACACATATATATTTTGTTTTCAAATTCAAAAAATCATTTTACTCGTGCACAACAACTTCATTACAAGAAGGAGAAAGTATCATTTTTAAGTGTTGCAGCTGGTCTATCACAAAAGTATGTCAATCAATAGAAACTGAATACGCCGATAATAAATATTATTATAATAAATTATTATTACTTCCATCCTAAGATAAATTACATTTCCCTGAAATTGATCGTGTTCAAACTGCATAACATCATTTACTTGTGCATTAAAAAACTGCTCAAGAAACTCATGTTTACTCTTCCCAATGTTGGGATTAGTACTTCAAAGTACAACAATAAGATTGAAAGGTGTATTTATTGTAGGCAAAACTTCAATTTTGGTTTAGTCTGGAAGAAACTTATTTCAGTTTTGTCTGACGTTTGTCAAGACAAAATTCAAAAAGGTTGAACATGTACGAAAAATAAAGGCTCACTCGTTGCTCTTTAGCTTTTTTGTTTGTACGTGATTTTTCAGAAAATGACTTCTCATCATGTTCGGACCATTTCAAATGACATCAGCCCCTTCTCCTACGTCCAATTCATATAATAGCTAATCAGCCCATGATCGAAGTTAGTAATATTCTTCAGAAAACATGATATAATATAAACAATGATATCATAGAAAGGCATGATGCGATAGTGACTATAGTCACTATCATATATATATGATAAATACATTCCTGATTCTATTATATAACAACACATCCTTGAAATCAGAGGTTGACATCGTTTTTTAATTTTTAATAATTAGATTTAGATAATTAGAGTTTTTTTACTATGGAAAAGATCCTTTTTAAAATTAAAAAATACATTTTCTTAACTAGCTCGATGTGCTCTATCCAACGATTTATAATAAGTTGGACAAAATAATTTCCTTAAAGTTTACATTACACGCACCTTACAGTTGTTTTAACATTTAAAGAAAAGAGAAGAAAAGATATTAATTTTTTCAGCAGCACTACTCGCGAATAAGCAGTTTTTTGCTTATAGTTCCGGTCTAGCATCAGATCTATATCGAATATTTGATCACTATGAACGTAAACTACACGACAGACACAGAAACTTATTTGATGTATTACTTGTAAATGATAAACACGTTTAATAGCAACAGTTCAATAACATATTAAACAGAAAACAGTTGAACTATGTCATCGATATAATAAAATATTAATAGTTATATTGGATAAACGAATGTCTTGTTCAGATAGGATAAATAATTATTATTTAGTCTTTTTCTTTACTAATACCATCAGCTGCACGAATATGATCGGTACCACCACTGTGTCTTTTCTTCATTTCTAAAATTAAAAAGATTAAAATTGCGTTTTTTTCTCGTTTTTTCTATGTTTTACCTTATTACATGAGGAAGTTATTATATTAATTTAATATGAGTGCTTAATAGTAGAAAACAAAAGCTAGGCCTGGTAAGCCTTCATAAGCACCTCCTCTAAAATCAAACAAAAGTTTCTATATAATTTATCATTGGTTCAGCTCATTTGTTAAGAAATATTCAATAGTCGATTACCTATGAAAAAATTTTTCAGCTTTAAATATGAATATTAAAAAAGTGGTTCTCTGATAATCTCTTAAAAGCTCCAAAACTTTGAGCATGGGTCTGTTCGCTGCACCATGGTCAATTTCTTATTAAAGCCTTTTTTTTAGGCTTCAAATCTCAATATTTAGGAAATATTTAGGAAATAAAACGGCTTGTTTTGCTCTACACTAACGAATAATTTTTAAAAGAGAGAAATAAAGCAAGGAAGAACCGAATTTAGCACGAAAAAAGTGGCATACCACAACCAGTTTGACCTTTGTCAAAGGGTCTCGTCAGGTGGATTCTGACACAAGAAAAGAAGAAGATAGATCAAAATTCGTTAAACATACGTACTTTTCTGTTTCTTTTGACTATTCATCTTATCTATTTCCAATATATGCACGGTAAAACGAACCGAATCTAAAGCAGTTGTTGAGAGTTTCGATTTGTTAATTAAATTACTTTTCATTTCTGCATTCCCGGTTTAGTTCTTGATTTATTCAACATCCGACATCACAATTACTGTCTATGTGCGCGGCTACATACTGATTAACGAAAAAAATTCAAATTAAAATAATTGAAAACCACCGAATATATATGTTGTTGTGCATGTATGAAGCTCGTATGTAGTATTCAGAGTGGAATATTTGCATCATAAAAAGGATATTCACGTTGACCACCTAAAAGTTGTTGTTGTAAATCTTCTTCTCCTTCCTCTAGGTTTCAATAACTAACTGATGCTTCTTCTCCTTCTTCGTTTTCATCTTGTTCAACTGTGAAACTGTTGTTGTTATTTCCTGTTGCTGCTGCTCCTCTTACTCGACGAGTAGGTGTTATTTGTGATTGTGAAACAGGAAAACGGTGTTGTCCACGTTTTATTTTCGGGGACGTGGAGATGTCATATATCATCTGGGATAAACTATTTTTTATTTGTTCTTGAACTTACCAAACTTGACTGTATAGAATTGAATGTAAATATGCAACACCGCCTACAAATAAAATACAAAAAAGACATTTTGATTAATAAAACTTTAATGTGCGATCTGCTGAAATAGAGAACGCTAATACGAAGAAAAGTAAGTCAACCAGAGATTTTCGAACTTCGACCTAAAATTGCGATCGATGAAACTGAGACTGAAGAAATGCGGAGGCGAGTTGGTTGAAGATGATTTTTAGATTATAAGATAAAGAACGAGTAAACGGAGTGATAAGTGCTGTCTAAGATGCAGAAAGAAGATCCATGAGTGGTCCGTAGTCGTACGGCTAGAAACATGTTAAACTGATTTACTAAAAAGTTATTTCGCCTTCTCAATTTGTTTTAATTTACCAAGTACGATATTTAATTCATCAAACTTTAAACTTTTAGTATCAGCTGTCTGCCCATAACAAAATCTAACGATTTCACGAGCTGTTGTTGTAATACGTGCTGTTTTCCCACGTTGACTGGGATCTTTACCATTCAATTCCTAAAAGAAAAGACAGATGAACATATTGCATAATACGGAATAATAATAGAAATAAACATAAATATAAATTATAATACAAAATAATATCGTCCTAATCCTAAGAAAACGAAGCTAACGAGGGAACCGCCCCTCAAAGCTGTAGAAATAAGAAAAATTTAATTTAGGACTTTTCTTGTAAATCTATAACTTTGCAAAGAAAGGTAGATAGAGGGTGTCCTAGTAAAAAGACTATTGGGTTCTTACTGTTTTCTTCAAAAGTTATGAATGTTTTTTGTTACCTGTACGAGCACCATACAAAACATAAAAATAGTCATAATTTTGCGAAAATAGCAAACTAAGGCTTGACATTTTTTTGTCATAGTGTTACTGATCGTCTGTCAAAACTGCTACTTCCTTTCTTGAGTTACTAAATTTTTACTACTGAAGTTTAAGTAAAGCATGTAAAGTAATATTTTCTTGAAAACTTTTTGTCATTTCCTTAAACTAGTAAAAATTCAATAACTCAAGAAAAAAAGTAGCAGTGTTGACAGACGATCAACACAATTACAAAAAAATTCAATCCCTAATTTGCTATTTTCGCAAAGTCATGACATTTTGTGTGTTTTGTATGGTGTTCGTACAGGTAACAAAAAACGTTCATCATCCATTGACTCCCATATAACGATTGCTTAAAAAACTTGATGATTTTACTTGTTCCACACACTAATCAGTATTTCGACATGAGAATGATTTCCAGCATTTCGATCTTCACAATGAGATGTGTTCCAGAATTTTCTGATGAGTTTTTGTGGAGATACAAGCATTACGACAAATGCCTTGAAAAAAGTGGCTTATGTACAAAATACGTTTTTTCTCGAAAAATATTTTTTTGCTAGCGGACTTCATTGAACCACATTATGACTCCCTTAAATTTCATCCGATCGAAATTGAAAATTTTACCAGAGGTACTCAAGGTCATAGCGCAGAGGTAGATTTTTTGAATTTTATTTTAGACCTTTCTTTACCGAGTTAGAAGCTCAGTAGTATTCGTCGATTGACGTGAAAATTCAAACGAAGCGTACATCTAATCTTGCCGAGTCGGTGGCACTAGTTCAAGGAGAAACACTCGTCAACCTTGTTGGTCTGAATACCATGCTTGGGACAGGTCATCAAAAGTCACCTATGGAAATTGATAGTGCGTTAATAAATTATCTTGTCGAAATATATTATGAGTACGAAAAACAAGATTTGCCATATGAAGAAAAAATACGAATATTGTCGCTGATGCCCGAGAACTGGGCGTACGATCAGTTGCAAGAAAAATTCGGTTGTACAAGACATGCGGTGAAATTTGCTAACAATTGCACTCTTCAACGACAACACCCATTGCGTTTAGAAGAGCGCAAACCAGTAATACGATCTAGCATATCGCCAGCTTTGACAGATCATTTTATTGAATGGTTAGTAGAGACTGATACGATAGTTTCAGTTCCATGCGAATTTGGAGAACTTGAACTTGACAACGGAGAAAGTTTTACGATACCGAAACAGGTACTGCAGGACAAACGAAGTCACATCATAGCGCAATACAGATCACATTGCGAGGAATCAAGGTCTGTGTCACTTTTTTTATTTTTCTCCACAGCACAGTCCTTTCTGTACATTCTAGGTTTACCCCACTTAGCGACCGAAAATTATTTTATCTGCTCGAGAATATGAACGCGTCACAACAGAATGCTTTGTCCGGTCTGGATGATTTCGCAAAAGCAGCCAGAGACGCTTGGGAAACGCTTGAAATTATCTGTCAAAGATTCCCTTTGTCATTAGCCAAACGTAAAACATTGATCGCTCAGATGAATAAGTCGAAAGACTATTTGAGATCACGTTTTCGCACTCATTGTTCGATGTCCGATAGTAAGCCATTGCACAAGGCACGGCTTGAGCCAACACGGGAGTAAAGCCTGCAGTCCCAAATGCAATCATGAGCACAGCGTAGTCTGTGAAGACTGTGTAGCACTTGCTCGAGTATTAGACGAAATTGAAGCGAATATCAGCTTTATCACAGATTTCGAGACAAGAGAAGGGCTCTGGTACGATTTCGATCAAGCTCGAGATGCTATTGTTGACCAAGCTCGTCACATCTTACAATCGGTTCAACAAGACGCCGCCAAAGTAAATGATATCAAAAACTTAGCCGATGATACGGCGTATATCACGATTGACTGGGCTCAAAAAGTTCTGCCCGTCGAATTCCGTGAAGGTCAATCAAGCTATTTTGGTAAGCGTGGCATGAGCCTACTAGTGGCAACATTCACAATAAAGAATACAAGAGTAGCTAGTGTGAACACTATTTTCATCAACCTTTTTCTCGACGTTTCTTTCTTCCGTTTTTTTAGACCGCTACGAAAGCAGAACATATATGCTTACATTAATTCATTGCCGACAAAACGAGATGGATACACTAACCGGCGGTCCTTCTTACATAATTTAAAAATATTTAACAGAACAATACGTTGAAATGTTGCATGAGATTATGAAAATACTTATAAATTTGTATGAAAACTAGCCCATATACTTGCATATGTGCAGGATGGACGTTGCACATGTTCCAATTGATTCCACTATCAATGTACTTACATTTGATATACGATAAATTAACAACTTTGATTTCAGACTTCAATAGTCTAAGGTTCGTAGATTCTCGTGGTACAAGAGCTCCTGTATTCTGAGAGGTATCGGATGAGAACATTGAATTTTGATTAGAGCCCCATTTCGCTTTGAAGCCACTTTGCAGCTCCATTATAACTCAGGTAAGACAGTTGGTTAAATCAAAACCATCATTTCGTGTACTCATGTACCCATACTATATATACCGATCACATTGAAGTCAATGTGTAACTTTCGGCAAACAAAAATGTTTTTCAAAAGTAGCACAAAAGTAAACTTTTTACCTTATTGTCCGCACATATTCGCATACATGCGACATTTATTCTTGCATATGCTCTTAGCTATAGACAGTACTCGACCTCGACTACTTATGCTCCAAATGGCAGCTCTTAATGTACTTTCTAGACCGAGATATAACCATTGCAAATTTCAGTTTTACACATCTATTGTTTCAGAGTGTTTTTAGGGCTTTTTTCGAAAAATTCGATTACTTTTGAAGGGAGTAAGTTAAGGCCAAAACATTTTGGGAATCCTCTCCCGCTATCTATTGTGAAAGATTGGCCGGAAAAACCCGACATCGATTGAGCAGCTTATACGACAAAAAGGCTGTCTTTACCGTGCAATGGATCTTAAGAATGTATTTCTCCGAACCGTTTATTTGAATATTATGCCACTGTTATTGTCAGTACAATTGAAAAATGGTATTTTCTGATGCAAGTAGTTAGAAAAATTTTCTTTCGAATGTACTATAACGTTGATCCGATGGACTATGGCAGTAATGAGTCTAATTGTAGTCGTCCTAATTGATATTCAACTGCAAATTTAGCCTAAAATAAAAATAGCGTGGCTCATTTGTAACATACAGAACTGTTCGCAATATTCCCCACTTACGTGTATTCGTGTTGAATCAAATAATGAAATTTCAGAAACATCCTGTTGATTCACGAGTAATGGAATTTCTAAACAATATACAATTGCGATTAGTTTTGGATACTTCATATTAATTAGTTACGATTTACCTGTGCAACCTAAAACAACACCTTCAACTTGATGTGTATCTTTCAGTTGTTTTATTGCGGCTAGATAAATTTGTTTTGATTTTTCAGTAAATATGTTATTTGATAATTCATTTATAATTATTTGATGCAATGTAGGAATATCATCGACCGATGGAAATACAACATCGATGTGGTGAGCTAATAAACGTTGTGCAACAGAACCATTTATGGACATTGACGTTGCTGTTCCCAAAAAACCAATCTAAGAAATAAATAGTAGGTTACTCTTGTTAGATAATTTGTTTTCATTATAAACTTTTACTTTTTTCAATTTTTGTTTTTTAATTTCATACGCAGTTGTATCTCCAATATGCAAGTATGGTAATGATGGATACCGTTGTTGAATTAATGGTACAACTAAGTGAGCTAAAAGGATTAAGAAACGTTTCATGAGCCGATAGAGTAACTGGTGTGAAGTCAAGCTCATGTTGAGATTTATTCTTGCTTGAAAAGTGTCTGATTCTATTTATCATACTAAAAATCTAAAATAGTAGTGCTTTGTTGCGGAGATATGAAACTTTTTCTAAAGGCATATGCATTGGTACCCATTCGTATTTAGTTGACAAGTGAAAATAACTTACTCACACATATTTTCGAGCAATACCTTATCGATAAGAGAACAAAAATATGCAACAAAAACGTTAGTTATTGTTATAAAACAATTGAGTTGAATACAAATGACATATCCGTAATAACCACACTCAACTTCACCTATAATTGTCTAAAGTTTCCGACTTTTAAACTTTTAACAACTTTAAAAATAAATAATATCTGAATATTGCATCGATTCTGGCTAAACTTTGAGGATATATGCTCTACAATCTGACAATACTAAGAAAAGTTCGTAGTGTAAATAAAGTCGTCTGTATCATTGTTGTAGTTTTGCTGTCAAAACTGTCGCATGGTGTGTAGGTTTTCATCCTTATACAATTTATCTTTTCAAGAAAAGTGTAGGACGGTAAAGCAAGCGCGGTTAATTTTCTGCAGAATCTTAAATAGTAAAGAAAACTAATAAATATTGGCACAACTATATAATTTTAAGTAAAAATAGGCCAAACTAGACAAACAAATAAGGCAAATATCAAGAAATGGCGTTCTATGATGACTTTTTTATTATCAAATTAAGTTACTTTCTCTCCATACTGGAAACAGGTCAATTTTTAGCCTTGAGATTTTGACTTTTTACCTAATTGAAGGTATTGTTTCTGGGCTGAGTTATCAGTTTTTAATATAATACCCCATATTTCAATTTAGCTTCAAAACTGTATAATTTCATAACAAAATAAGAGCAAAAATCATAGTGTAGATATAGCGAATAAATAGGTAATAGAGTAAAAGTGCTGTCTCAATTATATTCGATTTTATTGACTAAAAACTTAACAAGTTCAAATTAGGGCTGTGACATTTACCAGTTATCGTTACCACCGTTACTCGGTAACGGTAACTGTTGAACAGTGGTACAAGAATCTTCTACAAGATCTTTTTTTCGAGAACTGTTTTTTAGCCAGCTCTGTAAGGTGAGGGCATAAGCGCAATGCATAGCGCATGCTTGCTAACAAACACTAGTATTAAACAGTTTCCTTAAAATTTGTTTACAGCGTAGGACATTTTTCTGCATCTTTTTCTCGTTGGAATCGCTAGTAGGGCCACCTCCAAATACCTGTATTTGAACATATTAATAGAAAATCGATTCCACTTTTGACTAATCTTTCCACACCCGTTAAAAGATAATCAGCAGCTTTTTCCGCTTCATTTCTTTGTATTAAATCAACATAGTCGTATGTATCAATTGACACCATTGTTAGATTACTGCTATGACCAGAATATTCTTTGCCAACTAATTCATTCATATATCTATAATACTACAACAGAAGAATTTAAATACTGGTCCATGAATACTAGACAATGATCACCACCTACCTCCATACTGGCCACATAAGATAAACCGCCTAAAAGTCCACAGACTTTTTGTTGTAGCGCACTCATCATGAAAATTCTAAAAGAACGAAAGCTTTACTCAAGTTTAATTCAAGAGACAATTTTCGAAAACGTCATGGAGGTTAGCAGCGATCAGTCTGCTGGAATGACATGTTGTAAGGCATGACAAGTTACTAAGAGAGGCTACACCACTAATCTAGCCGGTCGGATACAAAAATGATCTCTGATTCTTCGATCCTCCATTAGAATGATCAGCACAACAAACTAATAGATCCAAAATATCTCGCTTCGAAAGTGCTTCCTGCAGACGTTAGTTTTATCAGTGCTCTTTTCTGGACTTGAAAGTTCTGCATCAATCCATAAATGAGACAAAATTTGAAATCATTGTGAGCAAACTCACAAAGAAACACAAGATAGGCCTATGAGCCTATTATTCATAAATCCGATCGAATTTTTCAGGTTTTATTTTTCAATCCAAATAAATGCTAAGTTCGTAATATACAAACAAATTTGCATCGAATAAAATATTAAGCAACATTTCGAATCACAACATTTGCTATTCCACTTTTTGTAATTGAATATAGCCAAATTAAGAGAGGCACAATGAAAATTTTCCAAAAGAGATAATAAATGTAAAGTAGTACATAATTTTGAAATAGCTTTCATGCTCTACAAGTTGAGCTTGTTCAGATTTCTTTTATTATGAATAACGGGTGGCGTATAATAAACGGGACACTTTTGTTCTTTATGTTTAAGCCACTTCCGAATGATCTAAAAATCTGCTTCTAGTCTCATTCGATAGAGAATTGAATTCTCTACAGAACCTTGTTTTTGAATCTCTGATAGTA